TCTTGGGGCTTCACTTCTTGAAAGTCTGTGGTCCCTTGGCATGATACACCCCAAACCCCTAAACCCCAAACCCTGGACCCTAAACCCCAAACCCCAAACCCCAAACAAAACCCCAAACCCGAAACCCTAAACCCTAAACCCTAAACCCTAAACCCTAAACCCTAAACCCTAAACCCTAAACCCTAAACCCTAAACCCTAAACCCTAAACCCTAAACCCTAAACCCAACCCCAAACCCTAAACCCCAAACCCTAAACCCCAAACCCCAAACCCTGCACGAACCCAAGGTTCGAAGGCCTTAAGACCCTTATCAACCCTTAACCCGGACGAAACTTGTAGGGTTCTTAGGGGGTCTTTATCGGGTTCTTTCGGGAGGGTTTAAGGATTAGGGTTTAGGGTGTAGGGTTTATGTAGGGTTAGGGGAGTTCATGAAAAGTAGGTGCCTCGGGAGCGTTAGGGAAGCTTAGCGAGCCTTAGGATACCACAATTGAACCCCCCCTCCCATAAGGACCCTATACAAACCCCAAACCTTAAAGCCTAAACCCCAAACCCCAAAGCCTGAACCAAACCATGCGCCTTGGCTCCCTCCCAAGCAGGTCAGGGTTCGAGTGCTTGGGAGTATCATCATACCATGTCGCCCTAAACCCTAAACCCTAAACCGCTCATAATAGCAGGGTTGTTGCTTGTTTTTGTCGTTCTGCGGTGTTCGTTGAGACTCGACCACATGTTCCAGGTTACCAAAGGGGGACCAAGACTTTCCAGAACCCCGAGACATCCTAAACCCTAAGCCCTCAACCCTAAACCCTCCCAAGCCGGAAAGACGTTCTCAAAAGCGATTTCCTTGCTGTTGGTTGGCACGGAATCAGGGAATTAGGGCCCTATCTATGCATTATATATATATATTATACATATATATATATATGTATACATACAATCCCTTTAAGGATTTGGGACTTTCCCCTAACCCCGAACCTACGTACACCCTAAAGCCAAAAAAACCTAAACCCTAAACCCGAAACCCTAAACCTTATTAAACCTTAAACCCTAAACCCTAAACCCTGAACCCTAAACCCTAAACCCTAAACCCTAAACCCTAAACCCTAAACCCTAAACCCTAAACCCTAAACCCTAAACCCTAAACCCTAAACCCTAAACTCTAAACCCTAAACCCTAAACCCTAAACCCTAAACCCAAACCAATGTTCGGAAACCCCCGTGGCGGATTTGCGAGCTGTAGGTGACCCTCGCAACCTTCGGCCCTGGAGCCTCTCAGTCATCCTCGCCGAAGCCCCGAAACCCGCCCCTCCCAAAATCCTAAACCTTAGGGTTTAGGGTTTAGGGTTTAGGGTTTGGGGTGAACCTCAAACCCTAAACCCCAAGCCCTTAACCCTAAGCCCCGAACCCTAAACCCCCGCTGAAACCTTAAATGCTGAATCCCGAATGACCCTGAGTAGGCCCATATTTCCTTTCTTTTTGGGTTGGGGTTCCCTTATAATCCCCTTAAAACCCAAAAGGGTACCCTTTTATTCCTAGGTTACTCCTGGGTCTAGATCCCAAATGACTTTGAAAGCTCCCAACGCAGTGGCAGGTCAAGTACCCCGGCATGAGTGCGGAGGCCGCACAGGGTTTAGGGATTAGGGTTGAGGGTTCAGGGTTTAGGGTTTAGGGATTAGGGTTCAGGGTTCAGGGTTCAGGGTTTGGGGTTTAGGGTTTGGGCAGCAAAAAGTTGAGGGCTCAGGGTTTGGGGTTTGGATTCATGGCATGCCTTCTTGGACCTACGTGTTCGGGTTTAGGGATGAATTCGGGCTTAGGGTGGACCATTCAAGGCCCCCCCCCCCCCTCCCCGTAACAAGCCCGCTCTAACGGCGTAGATGAATTCCCGATTTTAGGGTTTCGTTGGGACCCTCTGCCTCGAAGCCCTGAACCCAAAACCCTAAAACCTGTTTAGGGTTTAGGGTTTTAGGTTTCGGTTTTGGGGCTTAAGGGTTTCAAAATAGGCCCCGGGCTTTTCAACGTGGCAAGCGTGGTTCTTAGGGTCGCCAGCTGGCTTCAGAAGGTTCTTGTCTCCCCGTCAGGTTCTCCACGGGGGGTTAGGGTTTAGGGCTTCAGGGTTTAAGTTTAGGGTATAGGGTATAGGGTTTTGGGGTATAGGGTTTAGGGTTTAGGGTTTCGGGTTTAGGGTTTAGGGTTTAGGGGATTCAAGGGTAGTTTGATCGTCCCTTACCGTCTTTAAGGGCTTCTGAAGTGTGGGCCCTTGGGTCGTATAGGATATAAAGGGATAAGGGGTCCCTTGTAACGGCCTATACTAAGAGATCATGTTACTACCCTGAGCGTAAGGTTATGGTTTTAGGATAAGGGTATGGTTATAGGGTTCTAGGGTTGTAGGGTTATAGGGTTATAGGGTTTAGGGTTATAGGGTTCAGGGTTATGGGGATTAGACCCACCCCAATAGTTTATGGTTCAGGGACTCGCAGCAGGCGCTGGTGATGCGACAGCTTGAGGACCTGAGACAGCAGTTTTTGCAACCGGGCCCGCCAACCCTGACCCTCAGCGAGAGCGGGGGGGGAAGGGGGGGGGAGGGTTTGGGGCTTAAGCCGCTTAAGGCTTGAGCGTCGCTACCATAGAACCCTAAAACCCTCAACCCTGTCGCGCGCGTTGGCGTGCAGGGTTTAAGGGTCAAGGGTCTGGCTGTCTGGCGCTACCCATGCCACAGCCCCCAAGACATCTGCGTGCTGGAAGCGGCCGCACCACCTCCAAGATCTCTCCACTGGATGAATCCGAGAAGGATGAGTCGCTAACCCCCCTAAGCTAAGCCCTCAGATAGCCCTAAACCTTCAACCCTAAATCCGTAAAACTCTAAAACCCTCGACCCCTCGACCCTTTGCCCCTAATCCCTCAACCCGAAACCAAAGCCCGCAAAACCCTTGTGGCTTTAGGGTTTAGGTTTATAAGGTTTAGGGTTTTAGGGTTTAGGGCCTAGAACCTAAAGCTTAAAACCCCTGAGTTGAAACTCCAAACGCCCTATAGGGTTTAGGGTTTAGAGTGCAAAGCCCAAACGCCCCCTTGCCCTTCCCCCCCTGGAAACTGGTGTTGACCCTGATAAACCTTGAGTTCGCTAAACCCTAAATCCATAAAGCCCGAAAGCACCGCCCTGCCCTTACTAAACCCTAAATCCTAAACCTTAAGCCCTAAACCCTAAACCCCAAACCTTAGAGCCTGAACCTTAAAGCCTTAAAGCTGAAACCTTAGACACCAAAAGATCCAAAGCCCTAAACCCCCTAAACCCCTAAGCTCTGAATCCTAAGCCCGAAAGCACCAGACTGCCCTAAATCCCAGGGCACCAAGCTGCTCAACCTCATCCCTGAAAGCGGTTGTAGGGTTACCCTAAACCCTAAACCCTAAACCCTAAACCCTAAACCCTAAACCCTATAACCCTAAACCCCAAACCCCAAACCCTAAACCCTAAACCCAATTTCCGCAGGTTAATGTTGGCATCAAGGCCTCCATGGAGAAGGCGAAGCAGATCGCAGGCCTGCGTGTTTTTTTTTTTTTTTTTTTTTGGGGGGGGGGGGGGGGGTGGTTAGGGTTGGGGGTGGTTAGGGGTTTGGGGTTTGGGGTTTGGGGTTTGGGGTTTGGGGGTGTGGGGTTTTGGGTTTGGGGTTTGGGGTTTGGGGTTTGGGGGTGTGGGGTTTGGGGTTTGGGGTTTAGGGGGAGGGGGGGTGGTTAAAGTTTGGGGTTTAGGGGTCTCAGGGTTTGTACATTCAATGTGTAAGCAAACTCGTTCACCCCATTGGGAGACATACATGTGTGTATATATATGGGTAGTTCTCTAAATTAGGGTCCCTTTCAGGGGGTTCCTTTTTCAAGGCTTCCGCCTTAGAATGTGTACCCAAAAAGGAGCCCCAATTTAGAGAACTACCTCCGACCACCCCTCCCGCCTGAGAAGTGCTGTGTCACTGCTTTGTCTGTGTCGGCAGGGTCCCCACATTACTGGTAGGGAGGTCAGGGCACTTTCGCTTACTTCAGGGTTTGGGATTGAGGCTGAGGCGTTACTTTTGGACAACGTGCAGGGCAGGTAGGACGGGACATCGAGCAAGGGCTCAGGGTTTAGGGGTTAGGGTCATGTAATATCACGTTGTCACGTAAGGAATCTGAAGCATCCCCACTCCTAAAGCATGCCCCCCCCCCCCCCCCCCCCCCCCAAAGTGCACCCTAACGCCCTAATCCCGAAGCCCTACAACAAGCCCTATCATAAACCCGATAGCAAACCCATCGCCCGTCGCACTAGGCCTTAAACCCTGTAAAGTAGAATGGCCTACAAATTTCCTACATAGACCGGCATATCAAATGCTACAGACCCTTAAACCTTCAACCCTAAACCCTAAACTCCCCAAACCCTAAACCTTAAGCTCTAAACTCTATAAGCCCTGAACCCTAAATCCTGAAGACCCTATAAATCGCCTATCAAACGTATACAGCAGGTGGCAGCACTCCGCAGGCAACTGGGTTTAGGGGAGTTGGCTGATTTAGGAGGGTCAGGCGGCTTAATTAGGGTTTAGGGTTTAGGGGTTAGGGTTTAGGGTTTAGGGAGGGGGCTTTTGGGGGGGGGGGGGGGGGTTTGGAAATGTCGGGTTTCAGGTTCCAGGGCTTATGGGTGTTCGCATTTGTTGATTGGGTCTTCAGGGCTTGTAGAGTGTCTAGGTTTATGGGGCTTATTGGGTTTAGCCGCTTAAGGGCGTTATATGTGGCGTTTCGAGATTATAAGGAGCCCTCTGGTACTTTAAGGAATACCCTGTATTTTATATCTGTGCATTCCCTCCACTTTTGCTTCCATGTATGTTGCACTTATTTGTGCCGCTCAAGCCCTCTGAGTAAAAAGGTTAGGCGCGCCCCTGCTCATGGCTTAACGGATAACAACTGGTGGATTTCCCAAACTATAGGTTATCAGCCGTAGGCTCCCCGGAGCTTGCGGCACCACTGACCTGGAGTTTCAACTCAGTGCATGGGTGACAGCCCCGAGCTGGTCCCCACCGAGGTAGCAACTGATCTCGGTACAGACGGATTTACAGACGCAGAATCCGCGGAGATGGACCTCTCAGGCACTTTGGCTATGCCACCGTCTACGGATGGCCGTGGCCTAGTGCTGGAAGAGAATGCAGCAGCAGCTAATGTGTTTGCGCCAAACGCACCTTCTCCTTTCGTAGGACTAGGAGCTCCGCAGATCCACATGTACCGACAACAGTTCCAGCAGAACATTACGATAGGTGAAACACCTGAACAAACAAGACTTCTCCTCACTGAGTTAGAGAACGAAGCAGAGTCCAGGCACCAGAGGTTCCGCCTAGCTGCTGAAGAAGCCCATGATCAACAAATCGCAGATGTTGAAGAAAGGGCTAACAGGCAGCACGAGGAAGTCGTTGCTAGACTTGAGTCTGAAATTGCTAGCCAAAGGTATAGCTTTGTCGCGAGGACCCAAGGTCTCTTTTCAGAACTCCAGCAACAAAGCCAGATAATCAATTTTCAGTCAGAACATTTTTCCGATGTTGGTTCGCAAATCACACGTCTCAGGACAACTCTGGTTGAAGAGGCTGAACAGAACAAGAGGGAAAGCATTAACGAGATTGGGGAATGGTTCGGAAGAGAGCATGATGAGGCAATGAAAAGGTACCGCAGTATAGCCCTGGAAACTGAAGAGCAAATGAGGATTCAAAACATGACCCTCCAAGATGAATTGTCATCAATGGAGCGTGCGCTCCAGCTCGAACAGGACAGGAATTTAGGTATCAATCCCTCGCAGCAAGCTCAGTTTCCCAGCGCCACTGCCCCAGTTGCTCCAGCGCCAAGCGCCGGGCGTAGTGCTCCGTGTGCCCCTCAGTTTTCAGATCCGAGTGTGATTCCGATGAACATCAGGGCATTGTTTCCAAACTTCAGTTTTGGCGGTGTGGCAACTACTGCCACTCCAACAGGACCGCAGGGTCCGGTTTCTGCCCCAGGGACCCCAACAGCATCAGCTAACGTCCCAAATCTAGGGTTCTCTAGTGGTGGGTTGAACGCCGGAGCCCCTGGTCTTGCGGCCCCAACAGGCACGCCGGGAGGTCCGGCAGCCACAGGAGCCGATTTAATCGCACAGACGCAGCAAGCGCTGCTTGAAGCCGCCAAGCTTCTTAAAGGAGACAAAAGCGGTGAAGATGACAAACCAAAGGTTAAAGAAGCTGAAACCATCCGCCTGCCGGATTTCCCTAACCCCGAAACCTACCGTGCATGGAAAACCGCAACACGGGAAGCAGTTAGGGCAGCTTCAGATAGACCAGATGAAGCCTTCTCTTGGATTCTAGAGGTGTATTCTAAGAATGCTGATCATGACAAGCTTCGTGAGCCCGGTAAGTTTCTCACGCTGGATACCAAAATCCTAGCCGCTCTCACTAAGGTCGCCAAAGGTGAGTTATCTCGACAGGTACTCACTTTCAAGGAAACCGAGGCGGTTCAAGGACGTGCCGTACGAGGACGCCAGGTCTTGCTCATGTTTGATCAGTACTTCAAAACAAATGAAGAGGTAGGATCGCTCTATTCGGTAGAAGACCTTTTGAAGGTTACACTGCATAGTGACGATCTAACCACATTTCTGCACAATTGGGAATCAGTCATTGCTGGCATGAGTCATGTCCCAGAAGAAATGGTTCTGCGTGACATCCTTCTTCGGCAAATCCGAAAGTCCTCAAGAATGAAGTATGATTTGGAAATCTACGACAGGGCGAAAGAGGGTTCTGCCTCACACTCCTATGCGTTCTTGTTGAAGTCAATCCGGGATTTGTTGACCCGTGAGAGGATGCGCAAGAACAGGGATAGAATCGCCAAGTCACATGGGGACAAGTTTGGGGCTCCTGTTGTTGAAGGCGGAAGGCCGACACGCCCTCCGTCGAGGAGCGGCCGCGGAAGGGATCGCTCTGCCGGTAGCCAGTCCAATTCAAAGTCAAGGTCTCGCTCTAGGACCCCATCCAGATCTAGATCACCTAGCCGATCGCAAAGCCCAAAGCCAGTTTGCTACGACTTTCAAAAGGGTAAGTGCACCAGGGGTGACAAGTGCAAGTTTTCGCACAAACCACGTTCACAATCCCCTGTTCGCACTGCACCGAAGAAGAAACAGGTCTGCACGTTTTGGAAGAAGGGAAAGTGCACTAGGGGAGATAAGTGTCGTTTCTTGCATAGGGAACCGAGCCCTGCTCCCCCAGGTGGTGAAAACGCAGCCCCGGCCCCTAAGGGCCCAGACAAACCAAGGTCCCCGTCACCCGCGCCAACGCGCAGGAAACCAAGCCGTGGACGCTCTAAGGAAAAGGATAGGAAGGCCGCATGCTGCATCTCGCTTGCGGCTGCAGCCTCAGCTGGTCCTGATGAGAGTGAACCACAAGATGGGGACGAAGACTACTGGGAAGTAGACTTCAAAAGGGGTGAAGCTGTTAGGCACCATCTGAAGTACAGAAGTACTATGTACAAGCCCGAAGTGTCATGTCCTGTTGCTCTTGAAAGGTTGAAGGGTAAGGCCAAAGTGATCAAGACGCTTCCCATTTCTCCATACACTGCAAAGGAGAACTGGGACTGGAAAGAGGGAAGAGGGGGAACCGGCGATAAGATGCCGTGGACCGGCAAGACTGTTTTCAAGATCAAAGAACAAAACAAGAAGGTCAGGTTTTGCGACAAACCTAAAGTCAGGGAAATCCCTTTTGAGGGAAAGGGGTACAAACATTCCTACAAAGTTCGCAGGTACAATACTTGCTATGCTGATGCGGAAAACTGCCCTAAGCCTGACGCTATCGACCTTCAGGTTGCAATTAGGAACGCAAGGGAACTCAAGATGCTTCTTGCCCGGCATGAGGGGGGAGAGAAGACCGATTGCCATTTAGAGTGTGATGAGCCTGATTCTCTAATGTGTGGGATGTGCAAGCACGTCGTTGAGAGCTCAGAGATCGCTTGTCCAGGGATCGCCACACCCTTAGAATTCCTTGCTGACACAGGAAGCGAGGAGGACCTTATCAGCGAAGCTGATCGTGCTATGTACTTCGGCGAAGAGCCAGTAGGCAATGCAACACGACAAGTGAATCTCATCACTGCTAATGGTAACGTCAAAGGTGACAAGTCGGTTAGGATCGACTTCCCGGAGTTTGGCAAAGAGCTAGAGTTCTATGTTCTCAACAGCACCCCTCCTGTTTGCTCCGTAGGCAGAAGGTGCATGGAGGACGGTTATGAGTTCCACTGGTACCCCAAAAGGCCGCCTTACTTTGTTGCGCCCAATGGTCAAAGACTAAGGTGTAGAATGAGAGGTATGGTCCCAGTGCTAGGGGGAGGAGCAATGGCCGCTCCAAGCACTAAGGAGGAAGCCTCAGGTTCTCTCGGACGACCAATTTTGTCCGAGGGTTTTCAGAAAACTGCCGCCCAATAGGGCCGGCCGAGGCTTTCGCAGGAGCAGCAGAGGAACGAGATCCAGTGGTCGAGCACCCCGATCCTGAGATCTCCGCAGCCATCAATGAGGTGCCGCCGATACATATCCCCAAAGAGAAGCTCAAACGACCAGGTTGGGTTTCGCACCCAAATGCTAAGTACTTGATTGTCGGACACAAACCAAAGACGTTTCGTACTGCCACACCAAGGTTTCCAAGATGCGAAGTCAGATCTACTTGGTTGTTCAGGGAAGGTTCTTGGGTCAAGGTTGAGGATAAAGTGAACGTCAGGGAGCTTGACAACAAAGTTGCCCGACTGGAGGGTAACCCAATCCTGAGCCTCACTATCTTCGAAGACCCCGATGTTGAACCTGACAGTGACAACGAAGGAAACGCCCGCAGTCTTGCAGAGGCCGATCTGAAAGCTGAAGCCAAATCTGTTGAGCACTTGTTCTCGCACAGGCCCAAGAATCCGTTCTGCGAGGTATGTCAGCGCGCAAAGATGTTGGCTCCCCAAGCCCGCAAAAAGGGGGGCTCAAGTACCATTGTGTCAAAGGCCTTTGGGGATCACATCACTGTTGACCATATTATCACTCGTGACCTTCGTGATCATGGGTTCCAGGACGAAAGGGTCGCACTTGTTGTTAAGGACGTGTTCACCAAATTTCGTTACGTCTACCCCTCTCCGACTAAGTCAAGCGATCAGTGTTTTGAAGACCTTCTTCACTTCCTAGGTCAAGAAGATGCAGTTGGCGTTTTCTACTCAGACAACGCACCTGAACTTCATGCCGCTATCAAAAGCCTAGGTGTCCGACATGTTACATCCCGCGAATATGTGGACACCAACAAGTCGGTAATCGAAAGAGAAATTCGGACGATTTTGGAGGGTACCCGCTCCAACCTTGTTCAGGCGGGTCTCCCCGACAAGCTTTGGCCGTTGGCCGCCCAACACCACGCGATGGCACTTAATGCAACTAAGAGGCTTGACAACGGGATTGTTCCCTGGGAGGCCAGGTATGGGGAACCGTTTTCAGGGATCATGATTCCTTTTGGTGCACGTGTGTTGTACTGGAACAACCCCAAACAGAACATTCCTGCGAGCTCTAAGTTTGCGCCGACCGGTGTTGAGGGAATATTTCTTGGTTACCACGTTCAGCCTGGCTTCGTTTGGAAGGAGGAATACCTCGTCACCCCCGTTAAGGGTTGTGACTTTGCGTTCGAGATAGGAAACTTTCCCATCCTGAGGTCGAAGCGAATGGAGCTGTTGCCTGGGGATTTCACATTCCCAATGAGATCCGAACAGCTCGCACTGCAGGAGAGCCTCCGTAAGCCGACCCTCGCAGATCAGGACTGCTCGTGGGGAGGCACAGATGGTGCCGGACCACGCGCCCCGCCTGGGGATTCGCCGGACGAGCCTTTGCCTCCGCCCGGTGTGCCTGATTTGGACGGCTCCGATCTGAAGGATCGTTTGTCCGAGTACTTGGACCAAGTGGCTAAGGAAAACGAGGACTATGTTCCCGAAGATGTCGGAGCTGTGGAGGACTGGCTGGGGAGGGATGCTCCTGGATCTTCTAAGGAAGCAACATCCGTGCCTAAGGCCTCATCTACTCTACCAAGACATGACCCCAAAACCATGCCTGACGGGAAGAAAGTCCCCAAAGGGTATAACTGGGACGGGGTGAGGTTGGTTAGAGATAAGAAAGGTTCCAAAAGGCCACCTGATACTCCTTCGGAATTTTGGCACATGTATTCCAAGGCACAACGGGAGGCTGACATTGAAAGATTCGAACGCAAGAAGGCTCGTGAAGCCGAGGAAGATGCTCGCAAGGCCCTTAGAGACTCCCCGGCCATGCCTGTCATCGCCGAGCCTGACCCCGAGCCCCATAGGGATCGCATGGCGTCCTTGTATTGGGCCAAACTTGGTCAGGTTGCGAGTGAGATGTTTGCTGCTGTTGCCAGGGTTGTCGGGCCTAAAGAGATCGAAAGTACTCCCGCTGCTAAAGAAGCCATGGACCGAGAGTGGAAGAAACTTGCCGATAAGTCTTGCTGGCTCGAGAAGAAGGTTCGAGAGTACCGGGATGTTGCGGCGGAAGCCAAACACAAGAATGTCAAGGCCCATTTCGGGAAAATCTTTGAGATTTGTTCGGTCAAGGGGGATGAACTCCCGGACGGGCACCCCCAGAAGAAATGGAAGGGTCGTAGTGTTTTCCAGGGCAACAACGTCCAGGACGAAAATCACGATCACGCCATTGTCGCCGAACTAGGATCAAGCCCCGCTAGTATGGAGGCCGGGAAAATCATCGATGTGTTTGGTAGCCAACCCGGGTACGTGAAACAGCAGGCTGATGGCATTGCTGCATACACACAAGCCCTTTTTAAAGGCATCGAAACGTGGGTCCGTCTCCCTCGAAACAGATGGCCTAAAGAATGGTCTGGGTATGAAGATCCTGTTTGCCCACTCAGGCTCGCTTTGTACGGCCACCCTGACTCAGGTGGTATCTGGGAAAGGTACTGTACCGAACAACTAGAGAGTGTTGGTTTTACTGCAGTTCTACCCGACATTTGGCATTCTGTTTTCTACCATGCTGAACTAGATTTGTTGCTTGTTGTGTACGTTGATGACTTCAAGATGGCCGGCCCCCAAGACAAAATCAACAAAGGTTGGGAGTTGATCGCTAAGGTGATTGACATGGAACCAGCCGAGGTCTTGGGACGGTACTTCGGGTGTCATCACGTTGAGCAAAATCAGGTCCAGCTTTCACGGGAGGACCACCCATTTGCTTACGTCTTCGACAAGAAGCACGCTAGCCCAGCTGCCGACTACCAAGTCCGGCCGAATCGCAAAGAGGACTTCTGGGAGGTCGACGCTGAGTTAGCTGCAGTCGTTAGGCATCACATCTATCCTCGTAGGAAACTTTATGTGCCTACACAGGACGACGTGTCGAAATTTCCCCACATAAGCTGCCAACGAATCACGGTGTTTGATGATGGTAGGGACCCTATCCATGATGACTTGAATCAGGGGGGCCCCGCGAACCAATCAGGTTGGTGGACTGGGAGAACATATTTCCCTATCACAGAGGTCAGTGACGAGGACTTTTCTCATGCTCTCGCAGCTAAGCACAATAAACCCAAGCGGTCCCAAGCCGAAGCTAAACGAGAAGCACGACAGAGTAAGTTCAAGAGCACTGAATCTATCAGTCAGGGAAAGACCCCTTCCATGACTGTGCCCGTGAACGTTGTGTACTACGACATGCGGGATTTCTTGGTGTCCTGTGTTGATAGGTACTGTGAGTTGGCCAAGGTCGACAAGAAATCCCTGAAGCACGTAGCGACTCCTTTTCATGAGAACCGGGTAGCAAAAGTTCTGGAGAACAATGAACCTAGTGGTAAGCTGCAACCTATTGCTAGCCGCGTACTCATGAAGGTTTTGTTCGCTGCGAGAATGGCCAGGTGGGACTTGTTACGCGCCACTCAGGCACTGGCATCCAGAGTCACCAAGTGGTCTCGCGACTGTGACGTTGCTTTGCACAGGTTGATCAGTTACATAAACTCTTCTCTTGAAGTTCGGATGAGGGGATTCATAGGGGATCGCATTCAGGATTGTAAGTTGTGGATGTTCTGCGATGCTGACCACGCTGGTAGCCACGACAGTAAATCCACTTCAGGCTGTGCCGTTTACTTGGTAGGCCCCAATACTTACTTTCCCCTAAATGCTTTTTCCAAGAAACAGACCAGCATCACCACTTCAAGTACGGAGAGTGAGGTTGTGGCTGCCAACCAAGGTATTCGTGCCCAGGGTCTGCCCAGCCTCAGTCTTTGGATTTTCCTGTGGCGTGAGGTTGCGAGTAGGACCGCCAGCTACCAAGCTAGGCCGAAAACCAAATCTAATCAAAGGGAAAACGACATCATTGCACGAATTGATCCTGAACTTGATGAGATCCGTTATGGTGAGTGTAGGGCGGATGGACGAAGCATTTCCGATTTAAACGGCCTCAAGGTCCACCTTAGCCCCAAGTTTGCTGTTCAACTCCTTGAGGACAACCAAGCTACCATCACCATTCTCCTCAAAGGTGACAGCGAAAAACTACGTCACACCGATCGGACTCAACGCATTTCGTTTGCTTGGATCAAACAACAGTTCGAGCGTAACTTCTTCGAAATGATTAATGTTGACACCAAAGAGCAAGTAGCTGATATCTTTACCAAACCTTTCGCTGACCGAGGTAAATGGGAACATGCTCTTAGGCTCATCGCGCACGTCGATGCTCCTCTTCAGGGGGGACGGCAGTCTAAGGCACACGAGTCCGATGCTCATCTCATCAACAAGCCTGTCGTTCATGCTCACCCCGTGGTGAAGCCGTCGGGAGATCCTTGCGCAGTCGCAGCTGAGCTTACCAAGGACCGTGACTTCAGTACTAAGGCTTTATTGCGTGTAGCCCAGATCATGTACCCCAACAAAACCAAGCGAAAGATGATTAAGCTTGACAATCGCAGCTACTACCACATCTTTGGGCAGTGGTCTTACGGAGGGATGCAAGGGGTGACTAAGGCTACACGTCGGTGGCCTCAGATTTGCCCGCTTCCTAAATGGAGTCGTGCAAGCCCATGCTCCTGAGGACTTCACATGGAATTCGGTGTTGCTTAATAGCTGCAGTGGTGCCTCTGTGCACAAAGACCATGGAAATGCTAAGGATAGCATGAGCTTTGCCCTCAGTGTCGGGGATTTCAAAGATGGTGAGCTTTGGTTTGCGGACCCCCTTGTTTCATCTGAAGATGCTATTGTTAGGGTCGGCCCCAATGGTAAGCGCCTTAAGGGTCGTGCTGTGTCCACCCTGAATCAAGCCATCATCTTTGATCCGCGAAATTTACACTGTGTGTTACCTTTCACTGGAACACGTTTCTCCATTGTTGCGTACACCTCTCGATCACAAGACGCCCTACAAGATCAAGAGCTCGCTTCTTTGAAATCGCTCGGATTCAGGCTGCCCCCACGCACGGCCAGCGCTGCTACTGCCCGAGAATACTCGAGGCCGTTGGGGTTCAAACGCATCATAGTCGAGTTTTGTTGCTCCCCCAACAGCAAACTAGGGCAGGATCGTAGCGCACGTCAAGGATGTTATGTGTTGCGACTCACCAGTAAGGATGACGTCTTGAAAGACTCTACATTGACTTCAGTTGTTCAGCAAATTAGTACCCTCTGCGACGAGGGGGGAGCATCTAAGCCAATTTTAGTTTATGCGTCGCTTCCGTGTACTGGTGGTTGTCCGTGGAATCGCATGACGCCTGACAGCCCAAAGTGGGAACAGCATCGGGAACTGTTTCACAAACTCCTCAAGCAGTTCCGAAAATTCATTGGAAAGCTCAAAGAGTACAAACCACAGGTTGCCTTCGAACTCCCTAAGGATTGCGACTATTGGAAGTGGGGCCATGTTCAACATATGGTTAATGACCTTGGACTTGAGTTCTACCGTTGCGATGGTTGCATGTTGGGGATTACGAATCACCAAGGATTACCACTAAGGAAAGCTTGGACCATTGCGTCGTCGATTCCATTGCAGCGGCTGGCAGCGCACAAGTGTGATCGCAGTCGTGTTCATGGCGAGTCTAGAGGCCAGGACCTTAAGGACAGTGAGAACTATTCACATGCCATGACTGATTGCATCCACATTGATTGGAAAAGCTTTTGCGATAGGCGTTCTAATTATGCGGCATGTGCACAACAACAATTTTCGTGTAACCACAAACACGCCTGCACTCACAAAACTGAACAAACTAACGCATTAGCTGCCTGCTGCATTCTCGCGGCAGTTTTCTGCGCGCCGGACATGGAAGCCACCAACGCTGGAATCGTTGCACCGACGGAGGTCCTGCGCCAGTGGTGGGATCGGCGGTTATGGGAGACTTCATTGTCTTCCGAATACCGCACCATGGCGCCTTTCCAGGAGGATGAAGCCAGCGTGAACAACTTCTACAAATATTTGCCGCGGCCACTGGCATGCGAATATGCCCTCAGTGACGTCAGGGAGGCTGGTTTGGTGGCCAAAATTGGGAGGCTCACCGATCAAGGCTTGGCCATGCTCCAGCCCGAGTCTACTCGAGGCCGTTTGCGCTACCTTGTCATCGTCGCAGACTCTACAACTACGTTCCTCACTGAAGGAAATTGGAAGACAGATCTGCTGGCAGACATCAAGGCCAACCGCGGCAATGCGTTCCCACATCATCTTGGCGTTGAGTACATTCCTACATGGGGTGCGAATCTCACGCGGCTCGTAGAGCTCGCCGTGGGAAAAATCACCCAACTGGAGCGTGAAACTGGCGCCAGTGGTCAGGTGAGCATTGACCTCATGATGATCTGGAACGGGAACGAGTTCGTCGGCGACAGAGGTCTGTTTTTGGACCCAGGCTTCAAGAGCAAGACGGAGTGGCTTCGTGGTTACCCGCACATGGCAAAGGGGAGCTGGGAGTTCATTGGACCAAAGGTTCTCCGAGAGATAGGCAAGTTGGCGGATCTACAGTCACGGGCGTCAGTGGGTACTGTGCTGCTCACGTCTGCGACCGACGCTGCCAACTACTACCTCCCGCGCGAGTGGGGTACCATCATGGCGGATTTGCTCGACTACGCCGCCCAACTTGGGCTGGCCGTCAAGCATTTCAACACGCCTGCGAGCCAGATCCGCAAATTCGACCACTTTCACTTCCAGGAGGACAGCGCCTATCGTTTGCAGCTGTTGAGGTGGTTGGGTTTTACCGCCAGGATTATGGTCCTTCGTCACCAATGCTCCTTCTTCAAGGAAGCCGACATCGACCTGGTCCTGCAGAACTACGGCCACGTCTCAAAGCCTAACGTCAAGTTCGCTGTGGACGTGCAGGTGGAGGAGAAGCTCCTGAACCACTTCCGTAAAGGAAGGGTAGAGCCCACACATCAGCCGCTTGTCGAGGCTGACCCGTGGGACGACATCTACTTCCAAGGACCCCAGGAGCAGTTCCCCGATACCGTGCCGAACCACTTTGTCCACCGGGACTTCAAGGACCACGTTCACCTGGGAGATGGGGAATATGTTACCCGCGAGGACTACGACGAGATGATCAAGAAGAGCGAGGAAAATGCCCCCCGTCCAGGGGAGGCCATCGTTGTTCCGTCATCGTCGTCAACGGCGCGGGAGACTAAGGAGAAGCTCTTGGCCAGGGGGGAGGTCTACAGTCGTCAGCGGACCGACCCTGAGTCCAGTGCCCCCAAACGGGCAAAGAAGGGCCCACACGAGGCTGTCTACGACGAGCCCATCAAGTCCGGCTACTACGCAACCGATGACGATTGGTGCCTCGTCGATATGTTGGGCCTCGACTGGGACACAATCCATTTATGCCCACCGGAAGGTGAGGCCGAGTGGATTGACATCCTTCAGGACGAGATGCCGAACTTCAAGTATGTCCACATTCCCCAGCATCACAAGACTGCCTTGTCCGGTATTGTCCGCGGCAAGGTCGTCCCAGGTCTGCAGGGCGATGGATTGTGGTGCTCTACAAGGAAGATCCTCGAGGCCTGGAACAAGAAGACGAACAAGGATTATGGCCTCGGGATGCTCCTCACTGTCGTCAAGAACGACAACCGCAGCAGGTTCCAGCTGCGAATTGACCGCAACCACCCCCTCGCCGAGTACTACGGCCTAGGAGGCTACCCTACCCTTATTAGGGCGAACCAAGGCATCTCCAAAGATGCTATGAAAGGGGTGCCCGACTCGATCCTTGCGGAGGCCTGGTTCAGCATGATCCCAGAAGCAGAGATGGATGAGCATTCTGCCACCTGGGAAGGTCGGCCGGTTTTGCCCCTGGAGAAGATTCCACGCAGGCTCTACCACCGCACCTACAAGGATCGAGCCTTTGCCATCTTGGACTCCTGCTTTATCCCCGGGCACCACACCGCGAATGCCTTTGTGTATTTTGCCGACCGGGAGGTAGGGCCGGGAGAAAATGTCCCTGGCGTGAGAAGCGATCGCCCCGTGGAGGTGGTCGTCAACACCATGGATGCCCTCAGGCAAGGCGCTGGACTGTTCTACTCACGGTCAGAGGGCGTCCTCTGCAGAGAAGCG